GTTTCAATTTCATTATTCGGATATTCATATTTTCCCCGTTTTGTTCCTAAATGTACAGTATGCTATCAATAAAGTTGAATTGCCATATTCTTATATTATGTTTATACTTTTGAATTGCACTGTTATAATGCGGAAATATATACAATCTCAGCCTGTGCTCCTGACATCGCTTTCACTCACAGTCACGAACGCGAACGTCACGTTTCACCTCGCTTCACCTCGTTTCACCCACAAAATGCCGAAGACTTCAGCTGTGTGGGACCATTTTAAATTGGATGACGGTAAGAAGAATATGTGCCAAATATGCTATAAGAAACTGGTCTACCACGGTGGCAAAACAACTCTGAAAAGTCACCTGGATGCTGTAAGTAGTAGCCTAGCTTAGCTTAGCTGTTGTCAAGTTGCCATGATGAAGCTGCTTTATCCACCGTTTAAACAGTAACGTTACACATGATAAAAACGTGCACTTACTTTGCTTGGAAAATAGTTGCAAGCAAGCTACCGAATTGTTTTTTTATATTAGTTTTATTAATTTTATCCGAATAGTGAAAATAATAGGAGTAATGTGGGAACATCTGCGGCTAAGGCAATGGCATAAAGTTGAGAAGCTCAGCCTAATAATAACTTGTGCAACGCATCCCAGCCATCAACATCCTCAACAATACAGCAGACCCTACAGAGGACACATTTAGTTTTAATGTTTGCGAGTACTGAGACAATAAATAAATATAAATCGTAATAGTATGCTCTTTCTGCGCTTCTGCTTAACAGCGTGTTGTCAGGTGTCTCGGATTCAGAGCGTGTTATGAAACCTTTTTTTTTTAAATAAATAATAAAAAAATTAAAAAAATAATTAAAAAAAATATAAATCTCTCCGCAGCAAATATTCGCTGCTGATTACTACCGAATATCCGGAGCCCGAAAAATGGTATTCGGGACAGCCCTAGCCAGCTGAAACACCTTCTCGGAAAACCCAGAAAAACAAAACAAAAATCAATCTGGCTCATATGCTGCAGGAAACAACAGCTGATAAGGGAAGCAAGTCAACAGCAAAGATCAGTTTCCCACTGAGCTTCCCTACAGCATGTGTGACCTGTTTTCATTTTCTCACATTATAATCTCCAAACTGACATGATGTATTCATATAACGTAATTCCTCCACTAGATGTTATTGCTAATTAACAAAGGTTGCATCAACACTGATATCTGACATGTGTTCTAAAGATTGCGGATGTGTTAATTTCTTCCTAATATTAATGATTGTGTTCCTCTTGTTAACAGCTGGTTCGCTTCATGTTCAGACAAACCTTTGAGGTGCTGAAGAGGAAAAACTGGCAGAGCAGGTAATATGTTAAAACTAACAATTAAACTGTGAATATATTGTGAATAATCATGATAATTAGGTTTACAATAATAGTAAATATATTTTGGAGGGATAAAACAAATAACCATGGGGTGTTTTAATAAAGAAATACATGACAAACTGGTGAGAGAAATCACGTTTTTGATGATTTCTGAATTATGGGGATTAAGTCTGACAATTTTCGGACATCTAGCTAAAGCTTGATCAAAGCCGCTGTCACAGAGAGCTGCTGTGATTCCCCTCGGTTTAATGGGCTTATTTACCCTTTCACTGCCATGCCCTGTGAACATCCGCTCTGTATGGGGGAGGAAGTTAGGGTAAAAATTGGTAATGGGATTATTTTGCATACATTTTTTAAAAAATGTTAAGATGTCCAGATTAATAGTGAGCGTTGAAGTGTTTAAGATGACAGCTGCAGTTAAAAGATCTCTACAGACAGTCTTGCTCATGTCACTGCTGTGTCAAATGGTGTCCTCTTAGGTGAATAACGGTGTGTGTGTGTGTCCTCAGTGCGGTCGGCAGGTTTCTAGAGTTGCTGACAGCACAGCTCCTGCAGAGCAGCAGCGGGGCCCCCAGTGGACTGCAGTTCCACATCCTGGACCTGTATCTGAGCGAGCTGGCAGCAGTGGGCGCAGCAGAGGTACAGCTAGTCCCTGGCTTGAGATGAATAACTGGGATGGGGCTAAAATGGAACAGAGTTCATTTGAAGCTGGTTGGCCACTGTTGCCATTGTTGGTTTCTTCAATTACCCTCTCTGATAACCCCATGCTTATCTTAAAGTAGCAAAATGTCTGGTACTTAAGTTTGTTTTTCAGCTTTTTCGTGTTCTGATTATGAACTGAACCGCTGTTTTGGGTATTTTTATTTATTTTTGCTATTGTTGAGAAATGGGATGTGATTATTGACCAAGGCATCCTCTGTCATTTTTTCCAGACTGTTGAATTCTTTATTGTTTTGTTTTCCAACAAGAAGATCTTAAACCAGTTGCAGCACTTTGTTCTGAGGAACTAATGGATGTATGGTGTATGTAATGGTCCTCACATGGTTTTTTTCTTTTCACAGCTCACTGCAGACCAGAACTTGATTTTCATTGAGCCATTCTGCAAAACATCGGCCAAAACCAAAGAGTGAGTTCACATCAGCATGAGTTGTGATGCTGTCTTACTATAGAAACATGTGATCAGAGGATTTCAGAATAGGAAAGGCTACTGTCATTAAGACCAGGGGCCTCATTTATAAAGGGATATACGCTAAAAAAATGGCGTACGCCGGTTTCTACGCAATGTTTTCGATTTATAAAATACTAACTTGACGGAAAAAGTGCGGTCCTCCACGCAAACTCTAACCCATGCGTACGCACTAAGCACAAAAACTGGAGACGAGAAACTGCGACACCGTTGGCAGAAGGAAGAATGGAGAGAAATATGTGGAAATAATATCATAAATAAAATGTTACCTCATTTATCATACATGAAGAATTCATTTTCAAACATTGATTAAAGCCAATCTTAAAATGATTTAACAAACGCTTGTTTGCGACTCCTCAGTGCACACAAAAACATAACCTGGAGAAATAAATAAATACGGATATGTTATTTAAAACCACCTCGAATATGTTGTGTTAATGTTATGAAAAGTTTTCTCATAAATTATGCGGTAAGCAGGAGGACAGAATTACGTCTAAACTGACGCCGTTTTTCTATTTCTATAGGTTGTAGATACGAGCATGGTTTTATATGCTATCACGTTTAATAGTGTTTTATGCCGTTTGCTAAGACTTGACAAGTCGCTCGTAAAACACAGGAGGTATGGAAACTAAGAACACCATATGTGGTAAATTGTACAGCTAATATAACACAACACATTAGTTGTATTTACTTTAACTGGTGGATTATGGATATATAGTTGCTGATTGAAAGCTGGAACACAAACTACCAAATGCAAACAAATTATTCAGATCCAGTCGTCATGACTCCACTCCGGAGGGATTCCCCGATCATTTCTTACAGTT